AACAGGATTAGGATTTATGAGGCAGACATCTGAAAGTAGTTTTACTACTTGACCTGATGCCCAGATAGTGTGAAGGTAGTGCAATACTAGCAGGTAGGCCAGTAACCCATGTTCAGAGGAAGAAAACCTTTACTAAATCAGCTTTGTCCATTACTAGCTATAAAACATCTCAAATTTTGGCAATGGTGCATATATTGTGCTGAAAGGTGAACTGATTTTTCAATTCGAATGTGATAGTCAGACAGTCTATAGTTAGCTCAAAGCCACAAATTTCAAGATCTGCTATTGTAACTCACATTTCGCAGGATGCCTGTAGCACTGCAATTGCTCTTGCGAATCTAAAAATAAGGACCTGATTTACCACTTTGTTACTCAAGTTTTGCACATGTGTAATTCCATTAGAATCAGAACCTGTATATGTTTTTTGCTTCCAACTGATTCCTGTCCCAATCCTAAACCTGGGAAAGGAATTGAGGTGTACAAAATGGGCCTATCCTATCCTGGAGCACCTGGGAAATGACTCAACCCCTCCAGTATATTAGGACAGCTCTCAGGATTTCCTTATCTTGTGCATGTACTATCTTCAATAGGCATTGCATTGCCAACACTGTTGCCACTCATAAGTCTTTACACACTGTGAAATCATGAGATTATCTTTAAAAACATCAGGGGGTTTTGAATGGAATCATCTTGGATTCTTTCTGTTTGCTTCTGCTTTTAAAATCAGCCAACTGGGTGGGTGGTGTGGGCAGCGATAAGAAGCTCAGAATGCAAGGAAGCAAGCTTGGGGAGCCTCTCCTTGAGCCCACCTCCCCTGTGTCCCCAACTTCTGACCACTATCCATGCGACCCAGTTGCCAGTTCTCAGTCTGGGGAAGAGGCAGGCAGCTGCTCCACTCTCCTTCCAGACCAAACCACAAGGGGACTAGAGCACTGTACAGGGGTTCATTATTGCAAGAGAAACTTTCACAGGGGAGATGCTCCAGATCTCCACCTGGAACAACTTTCTCCCAGAGGGGGTGTGCTTTCTCTGGGAGAAATTGAATGAATGCTTGTTCACTCCTAGTTTTTCCCAGATCAGCAATTTTCCCAGGAGAAGTGTACTACCCGTACATGGCCTTTGTTTTCAGTGAAAACAGTATTTTCCATTGCTTCAGGACTCCAGGGATCAGGGCTTAAAGAAAATCACCAAATTCTGAAACTTGTAATAAAATTATGAAGGTTGGTGGCACTTCATAGCTGGGCATAAGACCACACTGGCATGATTCTAACTGCCCTAACCTGTAGTATATTTGTTGTGCTTTCTACCCAGCCACCTACAGGAGAATTGCAACTACTAAGGTAGAGCTTGCTTCATATCTACAACAGCTTCGGTGTCAAAGGTGTAAGCCCATCACCAGTGGAGGAGGGAGGACTCCCAAGAAGAACAGTTCATCCCCATTTAAACTGAGATTGGTGGGTAATTGGTCTTATGCTGACAGGGGAAGGGGAAGTAAAATGCTTTCTTATCAGCAAAACCCTCAATCTGTCATCCAGAAGATTAGGTTTCAGAGACAGAGATTCCTGCTTTCCCTGTCTCAGTAGAATCAAAATAGGCAAGAAAAGAGCTTTAGTGAGTTGTGACCACTTTGCCCTCCCAGGCTGTTACATTAAAATGAAGTCTCAGGCATATCAGATGAGTTCCTAGGGCTGGCCATAGTATGGAAGAGGTTGTGTTCTAATGGCATATCTACATAAGATGCTTACTACGCAGTAGACTAATTTGCTGTGCAGTAAACATTGCGTGTCTACACGTGCCCCTATAAGCCTGGAGTAAACTAATTTACTCTGCAGCAGGATAATACTTGTAAATATAAGTACTATCCTGCTGTGGAGTAAAAAAACTCCACAGCAGTACACAGCTAGACACTGACACAGCTGGCTGGGGTACGAGGGTGCTTCAGTGAGGGAGCTGCTCGCCGGCTAGCCCTGCACTGAAGTAGCTTTGTGCCCCAACCAGCCCCTCCACAGCAAGTTGAGCTGGGGAAAGCAGTCCTGGGCTGACACCCTTTCAGCCAGGGCTGCTTAATGTTTTGCAGTCCCAGGAGCACATGAAGATACGACATGCGGAAACAACAAGCTCTGGAACAAGAAGCTCCAGAGTTTATTCAGTTCATTAATATGCACGTGTAGATGCATTCAATGTGTATTTTATTATAGGTGGGTTTTTTTGACCATTCAGACTCATGTGGAATAATAAATTTCTTGTGGTAGGACTAGGGAAAAGGGTTTGTCTTGAGCAGGCCCAGTCTGTAGCTGTAACCAGTATACTGTCATCTGCTCATTTATTTGGCTTTCACAAGAGTTACTGCAACTATAAGAGGACATCACTTCAGGGGCCAAAGATTCTTATTAATTGTGAGGCTTCTCTTCCAGATGCAACTTTATATTAGGGAAAACTAACTAAAGAAATGAAGATATGCACAATTTATTTCTTCCCTCACTCTATACTTTTCCTAAACACACAAAGTAGTAGACCAATAAACCAATCTAATAGCTGTTGCCTAGCAACCAACCATCTGACATGTGTAACTAGATGACCTGGATATATATTTCCCAGATTTTTTACCCTTAGGCACCTATGCTCATCAAATAAGCTACTTTATTGAGGTCCTGTGCTAAAATTATGGACTTTCTAAGTCTTCAAAGAGGTCCTGCATGGGGACAAGTGTCCACTTGTGCAGCATTTTGTGATTGGGCAGTCATGCATATTTTCTGATGCTGGCCATCTTTAGCTGACACTAGGGACCAAGCCATACTTCCAGACCTGAAAGCTTGAGGAGCTACTGCTTGACTAAAGCTCCTTAATCAAAAGATTAGCAGACTCATGCCCTATGCAAATCACGCATATAGGAGCCAAACATGGTCCTACCAGTAGGTTATATCTTCACACTGTAAATTGAATAAAGAACACTTTTTTATATATTTGGATTATTTCTGACAGCTAAAAATTTCTGATGTTGTATCAGCCAACATAAATATGCAGGTGTGTAAAATACTAAACATCTGATTAAGTTACAATAACCTCTGAAATAGATTTACAACAAAAAATATTGAGCTTATGTAAAACAATATTTTGAATTCTCTCACGCAATCATCTTTTGTTTTGAAGCACTGCTTTGTGTGTACTGCTTTATTATTCAATTCCTGCTTGGGAAATGCTCAAAAGGTTTTTAAAGGACAAAGAAAAGAACAAGCAATATTTACCAATTGAAATGACAAAGTTTATTTGCAAATTATATTTTTCAAGGATTTGTACAATAGGACAACTATTGTTCAGGGAAAAAGGTGTAGAAGTGAAAAGTTCCAAGAGTTTTAAAAAGATTGTGCAGGCATGTGTGGCACAGATCCCAAAGAAGCCAGAATGAGCATCACACGTGGTGGTCTGACTGGGGTTGTGTAGCGTGGATCCCAGACCAAGTGGAACAAGCGCCACACTGCACATGGTGCCCACCCTGGCCAGAATGTGCTGCATTCAGTGCTCACTTTGGGAACTGCGCTGCATATAATGCCTGCTTTAGCCAGTCCAGGACCCACATGCTATGTAGCGCTGTGCTGCGTAAGCCTCCAGAGTGGCCAGAACAGGTGCCACATGTGGCTCAATCTGGTCAGCACCATGTGTAGTGCAGTGCTCACCCCATCCAGTCTTGCCTTTATGTTATATGTGGTGCCTGTCGTAGCCACTCTGGGATCTGTGCTGCACACACCTGCCTGTGAAGCGCTGTCCCAGAGCAGCTAGAGCAGGCACTGCATGTGTCATGTGTCCCAAGCTCCACTTATGGAGCTGGTCCAGGGTGCACTGTGCCCCATGTGCTCAAACCCAAGGGCAACACGGGGTGGGGAGCAGATAGCAGAGCTCTATGGGCTGGATATAGCCCACAGGCTATATGTTTGATACCCTTGCTAAAGCAGAACAAAGACAAAGCCAGTGAACACTCAGCAAGAGGCACAAGCTTTAGTTAAACAAACAAGCTTTAGTTAAAGCGCCCCTGCTGCCAGTTTGAAGTGTGGGATGCTGAATACACAAGATGTTGCAGGTGCTTTGATTAGAGTATCTCCCTAGAGCTGCTCTAATTAAAGCACCTCCACCCAAAGCACCTGTAAAGATGTCCTATGATTCTATAATTCCATAACACCTTTCTCACTCTGCTTTTACTATTTTTGGTGTTGTTACAATGACTTTAACAATTGCCATGATAAAAGATCACTGTCTATGAATAGTAACATTTCAATGAATCATACACGTTTAAAAATACCATTAGAATATACTTCTATTGTCTGTTAGTTTTTAGAACCTCATTGTAAAATAGGTGCAATACAGACACAAAAACAACAGACAGACTACCTTTGAGTACAGTGCTTAGAATTAAGATAGGCATTAAGGGCCACATTTCCCCCCATGCAATTCCACTGACGTTAGTATTTTTGGGAATGCTGTATGATCTTCAAAAGTTTTGTATTGTTTCTGAAAGTATATACATTCTTTATGACTCATATTAATCCCTGGTGTAATTTCTCTGACTTCTGTTTAGTTACAGAGATAAACTTTGCTCATGCAAAAGTGACATTTAGTCAAATCAAATCAGTTACGTATACCAAATGTAGATCACAATGTAAATCAGTGCAAATCTGTGTTTTGTGTTGGTATCTTATTTTCAGTTGAAGTAAACAGCAAGTCTAATAAGAAATAAAATTACCGGACAATATTTAACAGGTTAGGTACTAAAGAACTGTTCACAAATTATGGTGAAAATTTTAACATGCAAAGATTAATTGACAAAAAATATATTCCTCTTCTAGCACACCTTACAAATTTAAATCTGAAAGAAAGTATAAGGTTTTGTATAATTTATTATAAATTACAATACTCTGACTAAACTGAATAGGACTTACTTTTCTCATTTATACACACGTAGATCTGGAACAACCCTGTTGAAATCAATGGAGTTTTTCCTGTGCATCAGCAGAATTCTTCCCTTTGGTCAATGGCATGTTTATTGGAAAAAAAGAACTGAGCCCACTGAAGTCCTAAGGCTCATGTTGGTACACCTATACTAATATGTTATAGAGTCAGAACAGCCATTCCAATATGTGTTGGTTGCTAACCTGAAGAAAACAACAATAATATTATTCAAAGTCAAAGTTTCACTCTTCCTCTTTACCTCAATAAAAGAAAAACTAAGAACTAGAGACAAGAGAGAACATAAAAAACCTGCAGCAATTACTGAACCTCTTTCTATCAAACTCTAGCCAAACTCCATCACTTTCAGTAAGGAAAGTGCAGAAATTAAAGCTATGTGTACGATGGAAACTGTTCCATGAAGATTTAATACTTTCCAAATTTTGCTTTGTATTTATACTAAGTGTAACCAGAAACTATCAAAATTCTAACCAAAAGAAAATTGCAGAGAAAATAGTTTTACATTTTTTTGTTTTTCTCTTCATTTGTTATGTAATTGTAATTTGTAATTTATACAAAAATAATTCGAGAAAAGTCACATCAAAACGAAAACTCAGAATGTTTTCCCCAGAACTTTGAAGCATGTGGCTATAACATCATCAGAACTGTATTGCTTCTTTCACCCTCTTTCCTAAATATTCTGTGAGATTGCCCCAGTTACATTTCATGTTGTCATGCTGCTATTGCAGCAGCCTGGGAACCAACCTGTGACTTAAATTCCTATTTTCCTATGCTCAGTTGGTAATAATCCACACTAACCCTCTCTCAGGGGCAGAGGGCTTGCGGCCTGGATTGATTCATCTGTTTACTCTAAACCCATCAGATATGTCCTGATGCACGTGTCCTGGTGATGTTGTGTAACTAATTCAGGCAGGTGCCAAATTAAACTTAAGATGGGCTAAAAAAGAAAATCCACTGGAGAGAAAATCTACACTATGGATGCATCTACATGAGACACTAACTGCACAGTAGCCGAATAATACTGTGCAACTGTGTGTCACAGCATAGTGCTAATATACTCTTGCGCAGTATTATTAGGCTACTGCGCAACAGCATCACTAAAAAGGCGTTCGCCAGCACTACTACACAGTAACTCTGGTTATTTATGCATTTATTTAGTACTTGATTATTCAAGTACTAAATTAAATGTGCAGTAACCACTGAGCATTAATGAATGTGTAGAAGTGCCCTATATGAATCTTTTTGCCCTGTTTTGATTTTCCACATACTTAACTTTTATATGGGTGGCACATTCACTTCTTAAACTCATCATGCATTTTTGTTTGTTTTAAGAATTTGGATTTGCTTACCATTTATACATTGCATGAAGTTTTGCACTAAAAAACTGCAAAGAAAAGACAAGTGTTTTCAGCATAAATTCTAGTGTATTTCAAGACATGTCCTCTAATGTATCCAGTTTCTGTACACACATTTTTCTATATTTTAACTTAATAAATCGAGAGGCACCTTAAACAAGCCTTCCTTCAGCTGTCACGTATTCCTTGCTCTCTTCCTTTCAGCTCATTTGAATGCTTTGAGTGACACTATTTCTGCAGTAAATATCCTTCATGACATGCCGACTTTCTGACTGACAGACAGCACACACATACAAAACAGAATGTCAAAGAACATGATATGATAAAACCAAACATAGTTTAATATAGTTATGATAATGCTAAGGTACTTAAAATTCTCCATACCTTTGACAGATTAGTCTTGTACTGTATATCTCTCAAATCTGTGTTTCTGTCTGGGAAATCTAGTTCTGCTGGGCCCAGGAAATTATAAATATTTTGAATTTTGGTTTACTTAAATTCAATTTAAGTAAATAGATTTTTGATTGGAGTCAAAGACTTATACTGATCTTTCAGACTTACAAGCAACTATCTTGTACATCATAGCATTTGATTCCATACCTAATATGTAACTTATAAGGCTACCTGCCCTATACAATGTTCTGACTAAGGCTGTATACACACATTCAAATAATCTGGGAGAATTCTCCCATGTTTTTTCTCCTGATAGAAAGACTTACCCAGAGACACCTGAACAAACATTTGAATCCTAAGTCCCTGAACAGCAGAGATCTGTCAATACTGTTGCTGCCTAGCCAGAGGGCACCTTGTACATACATCTCAGCATGCTCTGCAGACTCTCTTAGTCTGCCTGGAGATAGATGGCAGCAGTGCACAGGGCAGCCCTAATTGTCTGACCTAGAGCGATCAGAGTCAGCCTGTGTTTCCCTGGAACACAATGTGGAGATTGTGAAAGGGGCACATTCTTCTCCCTGGTGGGCTGGAGCAGTAGAGTCCAATCAGTGATACTGCCTCCTGGAGTGGGGAGGAGAAGAAACAAAGCACCCTGGGAAGCTGGAGAACTGTGCTATGGCTTCTTTCAGAAGGGAATGTGTAAAGACATTCACTTTCCCAGTAGAAACTCTCCTGGGAGTGATTTAACCCTAGTTGTTCTTGGGTTATTTTTCTCCAGAGCACCTGTTTTCTCTCTGGGAGAACAATTCTGAACATCTATATACTTGTAGTTTCTCCTGGGTGAGACCCATAACAGGAGCCAGACCCACATCTACCTTGATGCACTACAGTATAACTTATTACATTGCATTATTGAATATATAGTCCAGCTCAGATAAATGGTCTGCAGAGAATGGGTGTTTGCCTTTTAGGAGCTGTAGGTTGGGTTCATCATTGTAGGAACCCAGAAGGATGCAGCTAAAGTGCTTAATTTGGGAATGTCAAAGCCTTTTATTTCAACTGAAAACATCAAAAGGAAAATATTAAGCATTTCTGAACTGAAAGTTTATCTCCACAGCTAAAAACTGAAAACACATTTTTCATTTTTTTTATCTTTTGAGTTTGAAGAAAAAAAGATGGGTTTTTCCCGCTACATTTTCCAAAAAAAAGCAGTTTTTCCACTGAAAAACCTCGATAGAAAAAAATTTGGCCATCCAGAAAAAAGTTTACAGATAATCAGATATGCCCTGTTACTCCAGCACAGAACTTGTGACTCATTTCTGAATACACTATTCCCTTTTGTCCCCACATGATCAAGGAGTAACCAAATCTTACTGCTTCCTCATTCAAAAAAATATGTTTAAGATCCAGCCTTTTCTTTAAAAAAGGCATACCCAGTCATTCAGAGTATGGCACTTTCCAAAGCCTTACCTTAATTACACGTTATTACTATGTAATGGCTTAATCTGATAAATAAATTTACTTTAATTAAAAACTGTAATGCTCCAGTATCTGCACAAAGGATAAAATACACAATTCCCAAAAGCAGTAACTGAAGAGATAGGTCTATTGTTCTGTAATAAAGGTTTGGTATTGTTTCTCTTTTTGCCTCATCTATCAGTATGCCTTAATTTCTACTTTGGGATCTGATAGTTTGGGGGGGGCAGGAATGGAAGAAAAGAATTATACAGTGAGCGTGTCTACATGAAACTTGTTAATGTGCCTCAACCTAGTTTACTGCACAGTACAGGTGCATGTCTACATGTGTGCACCCTTACTGTACAGTAAAAATGGCTAATCACAACTAAATTTGATACCTGCATTTGATACCTGATACCTGCATTTGAAGGTATCAAATTTAGTTGTGATTAGTTAAAGCACATTAACGCATGTGTAGGTGTGACCCAGGACTTGGTTTAGTGCTAGTTCTACCCTGCCACTAGGGGTGCAGCCTGAGCCCAGCCCCAGGGCTTCTGAATGGGACCTTTCCTGCCCTGAGGCTGGGCTGCATCTATGGCAGCCCCTAGCAGCAGGCTATAAAAGCCAGCAGTCATTTTGTTTCCTGGTGCACACTGCACAGGAGCAGTGTAGGCCATGTGTGCTCCCCAAGACAAGACACAACCAGAGCTGCTGCCAGAGCTGTTGCTTGACCACAAGTGAGTGTTGTGAAGGGCTGAAGCATGCTGCACCCCCTCCCCAGGACTGAAATCTCCCCAGGGCTTCTGGCTAGTTATCTATCTCTGGCGTCAGGGTCAGCACCTACTCCCTGCTGCTGTTCACCCCCAGCAGTCTTTCCTGTGTTTGCAAGTGTTGTGGCACATTTGCCTCTGCTGCACAGCTCCCAGTTCCTTACTGTGTTCCTGTGCTGAGCACTGCTGGCAACTGTCCAGGGCCGGCCACACAGGGACAGTCATGTGGAAGCCCAGAGAGCTGGCACAGGGCCAGTGATGTCATTCTTATCCTCCCCACTGAAGCCCAGCCCTGCCCACATGCACGTGCCTGAGCCTTCTACCCAGGGCCCCACATGGAGCCAGGAGGAGATTGGCAATCTTGTGACACACTGGGATGATGCAGAAGTACAGAAGCAGTTTGCATGGGGCAAGGGCTCCATTCAGGGAACCACACTGGCCCTTTTCCAGTCCTCTGGCACCACACCAGAGCACCACAAGTGCTCATAAATCCATGCCAGGGGTCCTGCAATGACCACAGCTAATTCCCTCAGTACTTTAGGGTGGATGTCATCCAGACCAGCTGATTTGAATACATCCAGTCCCTCCAGAAGTTCCCCAACTAGTTCCTCACTAACCCTTGGCCTAGGTGCACCTCCCCTGGGGTCTAAGGGGGGCCCGGGGGGGTGGCTGTTCCAGTCCCTGCTCAGGAAAATGGAGGCAAAGAAATCGTTAAATATATTAGCTTTGATGACCAAATTTCCTAGCGAGTCCTGCAGGGGCCCCACGTTACCCGGAACATTTTTTTTGCCCCCTATGTATTTAAAAAAAGACTTCTTA